CACTGCTAGGCAGTAAGCCACAGATTCATAACAACATTGGTCACATTCGCACATCACATTCCAGTCAGGTTACAGGCAGGACACATTTCTAGGCAGTAAGCCACAGATTCGTAACAATATTGGTCACATTTCGCACATCATGGTCACATTATTCATAAAGTTAAAAAGGAATAATCAAGTGGAAATTTCAAACGGGATTCAATTCAAAACCCTAACCCATTCCAATCACCTATACAATCGAATAGGGTAATAATCACATTTCTCCAATTGATCTTCAATACATACTACCCAACCATTTTTGAACACACACACACACACACATATCACTTAGATTAAAAAAAAGGGGGACGAAATAACCTTCTTCGATAACCCTCTAAGCACGGTCACTGCGTACTTTTTTAATAGGGTTTTTTCGGGGCTCCCCTTATCCTTCCTCTTGCGACTTCTTTGTGACGAGCCTTCGACATTAATCGCCCTTTCTGCCCCTTTGATTTCGCCATTTTATGTCGCCAATAGAAGCTCTAGTTGCGTGAAGTCGTTCTATCAGAGACCTGAATGTGTTATATAATGAATATAACGATTTTAGTAATACAAAAACTAGGAGAAAATGTAGTAAAAATGGTCTGAGTGGGAATGAAGTAATCGGAGATTGTGGGTGTAGTGGAGGAAGAATGAGAGAGAAAACGATTTCGAAAATACTGAAAAATTGAATTTAGATATTAGAACGCGCCATTATTAAAATAATTACTATTTTATTATTAATATTAATTATTAAATATTAAAATAATATTTAATTAATAAAATGTTATATCTGAAGAATTCTTAAAAAACCTTCCTTACTGAAGTTTGCATTATATACTTCAAAGCCCCTGTTCCCATGTAATTTCCACTTTACCATATTTTCAAAAACTTAGATGATTGATTATATGAGACATGTGACTAGAATGTCTAGTGCAACACAACTAGATATGGAGGCATGTCAAACTTGGGGCCCATGCTAATTTAGTGCTTGTTTGTTAGGGATTTTGCTAATTGATTTTTTGACTGTTAGAGATAAAATGAGTCCTACTTGTGAGAGGAGAACTCAAAAATGACGGTTGGAATAGTGAAATAACGGTTAAAAAATTAATTTTAATTGGGTTTTAAGCTATACCAAACATGCTCTTAAGCATAGTTATAGATTTTGACGAGCTTGTCCTATTAAATTTTATTTTTTCTTTCCTATTTTTAATTATACAATCATTCATAAAATAATTTTACATGTAAATCAAAAATATTTCTTCTTTTTTAATCTCTTATTTTTCAAAAAATATTATTCCACCCAATTTCATTTCAAAAAATGAGGACCAAATGAAGACTTAATTTACAAGAGCTAATACAAGTAAATGATGCATAAACTGGACAGTTGTTCTTGATTCCTATTCATGATTGCACAAATCACATTTCAATCTAATTATTGTTTTTTTTTTTTTTCATTTTCTTTAAGAGTTTGTCAAATTTTATTTGTACCAATATTGTGAATTAACAAGATTAATGGGCCATTCTTCGACTATATAGAAGAGTAGACTAATTGGAATTAAGCTCAAGCTTATGGGATAAAATTAAAAATTTTAGGCTAGTTTTGGTATTTCATTTTAGTCCTTACGACACAGCAATCCCGTGAGCGAATCTTCACACGGTACAAAAACCAGGTTCCAACCCGGCAATTAGGATGTATATAAACGGGAGTTAATTGTTCCAATGATCATTGAATTTAGATCCATGTCTTTAATTGGCCACTAAATTTAGGTACATGCCTTTGATTGGTAGCCGAACTTTAAAATGTCTAGTTTCGATCATTGAACTTAAGTCCATGTCTTCAATTGCTCACTGATGTTTAAAATGTCGAGTTTTGACCACTGAATTTTGAAAAATGTTATAAATTACTCACTTAACTTTGAAAAATATTGTACATTATTCACTGTAAGCTCGATATTTTTCAAAATTTAACAATTATGCTAGTGAATAATGTACGACATATTCCAAAATTCAATGACCAAAACTCAATATTTTAAATTTCGGTGAGTATTTGAAGATGTAGATCTAAGTTCAGTGATCAAAATTCGATATTTTTCAAAATTTTTGTAGCCAAAACTCGATATTTTAAAGTTCAGTGATCAATTAAAGACATGAACCTAAATTTAATAACCAAAACTCGATATTTTTCAAAGTTAATGGCCAATAAAAAATATGAATTTAAGTTGAATGACCATTGGAACAATTTACTCTATAAACGGCGATAGGGCTGTGGAATCAAACGGAATGCACTGTTGCAATTGGAAAGGGACAAATGGCGATGAGATCTGTCGTTTACCGCATTGGAGTGCGTCGTTTGACGGAAGGCAACTGGCGATCATCGGCCTCTGGCCTTCGCTACTCGAGAGATGGCACGGGCCGTGTTCTCAGTGAAGAAGAGCGTGCCAAAGAAACAGTCTACGTTCAGGTTTTCTTGTGTGTGTGTGTGTATATTTTTTTTATTTTTTTTTAAGAAGGAATATTGATAATGGTTTTGGTGACGATGAAGAAAATGGAGCGTGAGAGGGCGGAGAAGATGTAGAAAAAGATGGAGCAAGATAAAGCTGACAAGGATAAATCTGACAAGGTGTGTATTTTTTAAACGCATTACAATTCTTTTATTATCCGCTTATTTCCTTTTTTCTCTATTTAGTGTCATGTTTGAGCTGAAATTTTTATTGAACGTTTTAGTTTTGATGGAAATATAAAGCAACGTTGTAAAAAAATTTCTGACATTTCCCAAAATGTAGAAAAATCTGGATGATATTGCATGAGATCTTAATTTTATTAGAGACCAATATTCAGTTATGGTATACTCCTAATTTCAAATATAACTCAATTTCATTAATTTCTTTAGATCCCTTCAATTGTTATTCCACTAATGAAGTTGAGAGATAAAGTGGTCTAATGAAATTTAAAGAGCTTTAGGTATATTTGTAATTCATATAACATAATTGAATTCCTGGTTTCTTTCCATATTGAAATAATGTATGTGGTGGAAATGCATTTTGACAATATATATATACAGAAGCTGGTCCTCTCTCCACCCATTGAGAGCGTATAGAGTTTGGAGAGCTCCAATTAAGAGAGCTTCCAAAAGAGCCAAAATCTTCACGGTCTAAGTTTGATCAGTTATTTTGGGGTTCAGTTTTATATTACTATCCCTGTGCCATTGCTTTTGGAATAGGCCAATTTGGATTCAAAATCGCCTGCTTGTATTATATTAGAGCCCTCATTGGCCAGGTCTAAGCCCCTTACTTGTCTGACTGGTTCTTTGAGAAGAATTGAATGCAAGATCAGAGGCTTAACATTCATTTTCTTACTAGCTGATGAACACTAATGGTCCATTTGATCGCAAGAATGAAATTTGGGTGGAAAGAAAACGAATACCAGGGAATTGAATTGCCTAGAACTTGTTTTATTAAGAATTATCAATTAAATGCGTTTGACTGGTATAATTTTCTAGGTTTCACTTGGAAAATGTTGAAATTTTGAATTTTTTGGTGTTCGTGTGGCTTTGTTTTTCATGAAAATTGTCAATTAAATTGATAGATTTTTTTACAATCATGGATAGAATTTGTTTCCATTGCCAAAAAAATTTTCAAAAAAAAGTTAGAAAACCCATTTTCTCATCAAAATCCAAGGAATTGGAATTCCTTCAAAACCAAGAAAATCACGTCACGTGGGGGGAGAAATGGAAAATGTTTTCCATGGAATTTTTTGCCATCAAACACCAATTTTTGGGTGGAAATGGAAAACTTTTTCCATTTTCCATGGAAAAAAAAGCCCTATCAAACAGGGCTTAATATCTGAACTTTATTCCTGACTTTGGACATGGGTTTGACAAACTGCTGAATGCCAGTTATACACTTGAATCTGAAACAAATCTTGATAAACTTTGGAGTACTTCATCATTGAAGTTCCTGTTTCCTATAATTTGTTTGAAATTCAGATTAGCGATGGTTCTTTTATAAACTAGATTTCATATTTCCTTCATTATTATGTATTTTATTCTCGACATACTCATATTTTCTTTTATCAGAAGTCTGAAGAATAGGCTGAGAAGAGAGAGATGAGGGGGGTCATCTGTACTGCACGCTGACTCTACGAATTTTTAGTTTGTAGCATTGCTGAGAATAAATGTATCCGACCTTGCGTAGCTCTTGACGAGGTTTGATCTTTGTTGACAGTTTGTCGATATTTCAAGTGGTATTGTTAGAGCTGTCAAAATGGTTGTTATTTCCTTCTTTTTCATTACGCCTTCTATGTAGCTGCATGCTATAACTCACAAGGGCAAGTGCTGCTTAAAACAGCAGGCACAGAATAATATTACATGTCATTCATGTCAATGTAACTGCATATTGTTTCGTAAGCAATATTAAGATGATATTGATTGGTAGTATAAATAAGATTTTAGCTTAGTATTATCAAACAATGAACAATTCGACTCACCAAACAAGTTCTGTAAATAAAGCTCATGTGGGGAATCTCATAATGTCCATCAAATGTTAACGATCTAGGATAATTTTCTGGTCAGAATTGCCCCCCAAAACCTAGATACGATATAAATTAAAAAATTTATAAGATCGTGACTAATTGTATCAAAATCTAGTAACTGTTCACAGTGTCTCTTGATTGCCTTTGAAAAATAAAAATTCATGAATAGTGTTATTTGTACATCATGATTTACATAATAATATACAGAATGCTATTGTGTGTGCATATATATTAATTAATTATTACCGATTTGGTTGAACATGAGGTCTTTAGTGTGTTTGATTGGTTTAATTTTTTATGAGAAGTGTTATTCTCACCAAAAATTCTATTTTTTGGGTGTTTGATTGATATTTTTTTCACGGAAAATATTTTTCAAAAGTTGGTCATGTGACTATATTTTCTTTAAAAAAAAAAAAACATATTCTTTGAAAAGGAGTAAATTTTTATTTTTCAAGCAATCCTCTCTCTCTCTCATCCACCCCCTCTTTTCTACCAACCAATAAAAGAGTGTATGTATAACATTTTTTAAATTTATAATTAAATCAATCAAACATGTTCTATTAATAATTTAATAAATTTTAGGCAATTCAATTACATAAAATTTATTTTATTTTCATGCAAATTCCACTTTTGCAATCAAACACACCTATTAAAATAAAAACAATAGGAAAATGAAAAAGAAAGGAATCTACCCTCCCCTCCTAATACCCAATTCCTCTTAAGGACTATATAATTAATCCGTATTACCAAGAGCAATGCGTCTGTTATATGAAAGATCACCAACAAAGACAATCACAAGAAGTTGGCAAACAGGACAGCATAAGCCACCAAATTCATATGGAATGACAGATTAAGCTAGAAGCATATTAGAAGACTAAAAAGTATGCCCTCTGTCGTTCGTATAACATCACATGGTCGGGTCCTTGCCAAACCTCATAAGAGCATGGGTCGCAAACATGGAAGCTCGGCGTGTCATCTCAGTGATTCGACCAACGACGGGCAACTTAACCGTATCTCTATTCCATAACGGTTTTTTATCCCACCTGTAAACAAGGAAAAAGCTTAGGATATTGCCCACACGTGAAGGATAACATAATTTTATAAATAAGTTTAAACCATCTCTTAAAACTTTTAGATGAGATACTTCACATATCCTAACAAAACAAATGTCATTGATCCAAATATAATAATCCCATTCACGAAAATTGAGAACAAGTTAGGCATGAGACAAAAATAAATCTAGCTTGCTTGTGAACATATGTGTATGAGACATAATTTGAATATAGACACGTTTGTTCCCTCTCTAAAAGATCAAACTTTCGACCTTTACAAGACACAATAACTGTGCTTGATAGTTCACTCAAGTCAATATATCTCTGCCATACCTCAATTTGACGAAGCGTCAATGTCCAGTCATTACCCTTGGTTTTTATGAAATCAAGTGATGAGAATTGTCATGTCTCATGACTCTACACTTTCAACCACATTAGCCATCTTTGTGAATTTTACATTAAACAGCAACAAAACTGAGCAAGGAAATAGTTTCTTAACCTTGTGAGTTTCAAAAATAATTAACAGGAAGACTTCGTAATTAAATGCAAAATGAACACAGTAGCAAGGGCAGGTTAATTGTAAGTATAAAATGTGTATGCATACCAATCCTCGTGGCGAACAATTTTCCCATCCTCTATGTCCAGCTTGATGAGTGATATCATATTTATGTCTTTCCCCATAAACTTGTAATATTGTTTGTTGTCAATAAGTATCTGGAGTCCAA